GCACTGTGGAGTGCAAGATGCCGACCTGTCAGGAACATATGCTTCCTCTGACTCATCATTTGGGTCGATTGCGTTTGCAGGCACTCTTGAACGTGTCGGATGCCGTTGGCGATGATATTTTTGAAGCCTACATTTTTTAGTTCATTCTCGTTTCGCTTTTTTATTTTTGCGCAGCCTTTTGCATGCACCAGCGTCCGAAACAAAACCAGTTGGCCCAAAAAAGGCCGTTTTTAGCCGCCTGACCGGAAAACAGGCAAAAAGTTCAAAACCCGACAAATGGCACCAAGACGCATAAAAACGCAGATGTTTCCGCATCATCATTGACAGGCGATACCTACGCCTCGTTTGGGTATCCTTGGAGATGTAGCCGGCTCTAGCCGTTATGAACAGACGAAATCGGTCAAAGTTGGTCAAAGTTTGGCCGAAAACGGTACGTATTGGTCAAAATTGGTCCAATTTTGATCAATTGTCATAATTGATCAATTATGACCTACAATTTCTCAACAATTTCTCAACAATTTCAACTCGATTTTTTTTTTTTTTTTCTTGTGAGCTTCATCATAAATGTACCTTTTCAACAAATCTAACTATAGCATCGTACACTCTTCCATTCAAAAGATATGATCTGCGCGCCATAGTCGACCAAACTCATGAGTAAGAGGAAGTATGTAAATATCATATTTTATGGGGGGGGGTTATGACCCATGAGACCTCATGACCCCCCTACTGTCCCGCCGACCTTCCTCAACTTCTCTCTCCTGCTGTAGCTGGGTAACAACGCGCACAGCGTGCAGGAGAGAAGCGCCTATGAAAATACACCATACTCAGATGGGAATATCCAGCTGCACAGCAGTGTGGGAACAGATTGCATCGTTTTCTTCTTCGAGCGCAACACACACAAGCTTCCTCCTCACAGTATCAAGTGGTCGCCTTACCTTCTTGCTTCATGATCGGTGTCTCACGACCCCTCATCATCAGCGCACCTGACACCCTCAGTGATACAAATTACAAGATTCACGCTCCCCGACGCTCAAAATTCAGTTCGCTGACCTCTCCCCAACGTCTAGAGCCGTTGCCGACGAGCCCTCATCATCGCATCCGTCATTCTGAGCCAGGTGAACAACCAGCTGCCTGTCTGTGCGCTATTCTCTCTGACGTGCATCGGTGTGTCTTTGGTATGATTGATTTTCGGTAGCGCTCCTCGAACGCGGTCCAAGAGATCACGTTGGCCTTGCTTTTTGCGACGCTCGGCTCGACGGGCCATCACGCGACGCAAGAATCGGCGCGAGAGAGCGACCGAACACATAGAAACTAGGAAGAGGACTTCGAGCTCTGAGAGCTTACAGACCCGCAATTCAGCCCTCTCGCGAGCCGCGAGTGATCTTTAAGGTGTTTATCGCACATTGTGCCATCTCTCTCTCTCTCTCGCTTTTCTCGACAGAATGTCCCTTTTTGAGCCTGTTGCGCGTGTGTCCCTGTGTGCAATCCTTCTCGCACGCTTGTCTTGTCGTGCTGAGTCTATCCTGTTTTAGCCTAACATAGTAGTGGGTTAACCTCCTCTTTGACTCTGTGCCAAAAGGAAGTCACCAGTTGTTCTGCTCCTCGCTCCCCGTAGCACCCCCGATTGCCTCCTTCTTCCTTAATTGCAGTAGTACTCCGCTTCAAGGATTGGCTGGCCTCCAACACTCGCTGCTTCCGTAGCTCTACGCGCCGGTACTGAGCACTAAGTGAACACGGAGTTGACCTCGGCAATCTCCCGAGATCAACGTCTGCTAAATTCAACGATAAACCAGACATACACCGCCCCACGCTATGCGCCCTCGCGTTACACTCACGGTCTTGAGCATTTAATCCGTTGTACTGCGCCCAGTTTGTGCTTGATAGGTGTATACATACGTGCTTTAGACTCACGTGTTGTGCTTGACGAGACGACCGTGTGTGTTCGGGCGTTTTCCAGCCTCTCCGCAATACTTGCACCATGCCCGTGGTTCTGCGTGTACCAGCCCAATAGTAGGAATGTACCGTAATATCCTCTGAGATGTCCCCGGGGGGATATCTACCTTTTTGCCCACAACGATCTCCCCGGGGTTTATCTCTACGGTAAGGGGGGACATGTTCAAAATATAAAAATGAACACGCGGGGACAAAACCCCGGGGAGGTCTACCAAAAACTGCTCCGTATTACCAAGTTTTTTATTTGGCTCAGGATTGGCACTGACGTATTGGATTTGGTTCGGTTGCACCGATTTCGAAGAACGATATCGACCACCACCTTTCAGTTAACATGAACGAGCGCACGGAGCTTGTCCCAATAGCACTCAATTAACGCACGAACCGTTTTTGATGCTTTCTTCCCGCGGGGATACGTTTTCTATGCGAACAAAAAAACACCCCCGGGGCTATCTCTACGGTAGGGGGGGACATCTTTAAAATATAAAAATGAACACCGCGGGGACAAAAGCCCCGGGGAGGTCTACCAAAAACGGCTCCTTACCACAAGTTTTTGATTTGGCTCAGGATTGGCACTGACGTATTGGATTTGGTTCGGTTGCACGGATTTCGAAGAACGATATCGACCACCACCTTTCAGTTAACATGAATGAGCGCACGGAGCTTGTCCCAACAGCACTCAATTGACGCACGAACCGTTTTTGATGCTTTCTTCCCCCGGGGATACGTTTTCTATGCGAATAACAAATACCCCCGGGGCTATCTCTACGGTAGGGGGGAGATCTTCAAAAGAAACAAATCGATGTCCGCGGTAACATTCAGCGTTTTTGTGCCCATTTCGGCGTATTTATGGACAGGTGTCCTCCACATATTGGCCAAATTATTTTTTAGGGGGGGAAGCGTCTGTGAGGATATGACAGTAGTCCTTCACAGTTGCAGGTGAACCAAAGGACTTCCGTGTAATTTCTTCCGTTCATTCGCTTGACGGGCGGTTGTCAGGACGGGCGGAGTTCAAGACGAGGAGAATCACGCTTTCATCGGCGGCGTCATTTTCAGACGGATCGAGAACAGCCACGGCGCTGAAGAAACCAGGGCCGCAGCGGTGTCGTTTTCGTATCCCCAGTGTTCACGCAGAAAACCTGGTATATTATGGTGAGTGATGTCGTTCCGATCATAATGACACGAGGGGTATTTTTGTCGATTCCCCAATCGCGCCACAGCCGTCAAGCCTTGTCCGCTCCTTGACAATTAAGTCGAGATTTAGGTTTCGATTGCGTGACCGAACGGCGCTAGCCTCTCTCTTTTGCAGTTTGGCCGGCGAACCAACCGCATATGCGGCAAGAATGGCAGCAGTATGTTTGCTGTTCGAACGTACTGTGCGACTTTATGCTGTGGTGCCTGCAAAACGCCATGCTGAAGGGCTGGCTTCAGAAGACGACCGTGCGATGTTGTAATTTCCGTCTTGCATGGAATGCTCTTGCGGGTTATTCCGTTTGGTGATCGTGCGCAGACCTGGTTGTGTGTCTAAATTTCCGCTTACATTATCGGTGTGGTGGAGTTTTTCGCGCTGATTATAAGGCCGCTGCTTCCATTGCCTCAATCGCTTGTGCTTGAAGGTGCGATGCATAGCTTTATGCACACCGAGGCACGCTTCTTCAAGCCACGCCGAGGCAGATGGAGCAACCAAGAAAAGTGTCGCCAATCTTCGTTCCGCAATTAAAGTGTCAGCCGGTATCATCGCGACTGGGACCTTAGATATGGGCAAGGAAATAGGATTCCTCCAACCGGTGTGCGCTGCCCTCGGGAGAATGAAAGATTCCTGGGACGAGATCCAACGCAACGAAGATCGGTTGGCGGAACTGTACGAACTCTGCGAGGTGATTACTTGTTTTGTAGTCGTGAAGTGCGACGGTGGCAGGAATAACATTGACGTCACGCCACTCAGTGAATGTGTCGATGATTTGGAAGCACTCGTGGCGGACTACAGCAGGCGAGGGTTGTGCTCGAAGTTTTGCAACCCGGACAGTGAGGTGATCGAACAATTGGGCAAGCGCATTGAAAACTTGGTTCATGTGATGGAACTTGCGGCGACCGTCGTGGTGTCCGAGCAAGTTGGCGGAGTGAATGCCGCAGTGGAAGATCTCAGACGGCAACTGGAGATAAACTGGGCGCGGAATGAATGTTTACTGGTGAGTGCATGTGCTTGGACGTATTTTGATCAGGCTACAATGCCTTGTGTTTCTCCTGAAGGGAAAATCCTTCACTCCTCACCAGCATTATGTTGCTCGTGATGACCGTATCTTCACATCCACCCACGAAATCAGATTATAGCGCCCAACAGGTGCGTGGACCCCTTTCCGATATTGGCGAACATGGCCACATGTTGCGAGTTGTCTTTGCCACACGAGGGAAGCGTTTGGAAATATGATGTCTGTCGCTGCTCTGACGCGTAGACGCTGCCCGATATTTACCCTTTTGCTCTTCATGCTCCCTGAAGGCTAAGCACGAAACCATGCTTGAAGAGTGCACCAAGAATATTGAAAGGGGGATCAAGAGTGTGCTACAACAGCTTCCAGCGCCACAGGCAGAGCGTGACCAAGCACCTGAGCCCAAAGGCGTTTGGAAACCTGAGGACCATGTCATTCGACGCCATGTAGTGGCACGTGTCTGCGAGTACTTCGATTCTGCAAACTCACCATGGATGGTTGCCCTTGTAGGCCGTAGTGGAGCGGGAAAGACTTCCACCGCCTCCGAGATGGCGCTCCATTATCATCTAAGGGAGCGCTTCCCTGACGGCATTGTCTGGATGCGATGCGGACAGGGAGCGGCAGACTCGGCGCGCCTGGCGAGGCAAATGTTTATCCTAGCCACGTGGGTGCACGAAGATGTCGAAAACAAACTTGGGATTAGTCCAAGTGCCGCTGTAGCGGCCGCTGAGGGCACTGCGGCCGCCTATATCAAGACTCGAATGGAGCAGGGAAATGCGGGACGCGGGCTCAAGTGTTTGGTGGTAGCGGATGATGTGTGGGAGCCAGAGGTGTTGGACATGCTAAGACAGTCCGGTATGAAAGCACTCATTACAAGCCGGGATTATGAGCTTACAGAGGCTTCGGGGGGGAAGGCAGTTGTCATGGACCACGTTACGGAAGAGGAGGGCATGTTGATTCTTCAAAAAGCGGCCAAGCTACGCAGCGGGGAGAGCCCCCCGAACGAGGCAAGGAAAATCCTCGATCTCTGCAACTACGTGGCAATGGAATTAAACTTCGTTGGAAGGTTGTCCATGCTACGCAGTCAAGTTGACGGGACGCAATGGTTGAGGGCGTGGAACGAAATCCGCTCAGAGATAGGAGCTGAGGTCTCCGATCCCGGGGGGGATTTCGATGACTGGGCCGCATCAAAACGACGGGATGTGATCTTTCGGGTTGGCTACAAGGATTTCGGATCGGGAGATGTCCGAAACAAAATACTCTACTTATCGCTTGGCATCCTGCCTAACGGTTACGCGTTTAGGGTGTCTGACGCGTCGCTACTGCTGTTTGGCGCGTGCCAAGGTCGTGACATGGAAAACGCAGGAGACGTTGTCGCCGACCTCGAGCGGTGGGCCGTTGTACGACTAGAAAGTAGTGATGGCACTTACCGCATGCATGACGCCCATTCGGAGTTTGCTCGGAAGATCCTAACTAGTGCCTTAGGTTTAGGGTTTGCGGCGGACGTGAGAGAACTAGCGGTTAGAAGGTGGAGTGCTCATCTCTCCTGTCTCAAAACAGTTCTATCTTTGGACGTGGGTTTACTACTGAGCCTGTGGCAGGCGGTAGACACTGTAAGTTGCGACGTGGGCATTCGAGTGCGCTCGTATCGGGCGCAGCTTTGCTCCATAGATTCATCAGATGAAGTGTACTTTTCATTCGCCAAGACGATTGCACAGCTATACTATGCCGAGGGCGACGATGCCAATGTGGTGGATATTTCGCAAATTATGCTGGATCGTTCAGATATGGCGCGGGAAGTACACCCTAAGTTCGTCGCCTTCGCGACATGGCGGCTGTGGGACAAATTGCCCAGCCACGGGGGCGCGGAGAAGGAGCAAGAATTGATTCGTAGGATGGACGCATTAATGGACGAGGAGAATCTGCAACGATGGGCCCCACAAGTCGGTGACGGAGAGGATGCCGAGTGGCTTCACAGCTGTGGCCTATGTTTGTATCGCCTAGATAGACGAGAAGAGTCAGAAACATACTTCCGGAGGGCTTTGCAGGCTTGGGAGTGTCTAGGTCTAAGCGCGCCACAGGTGCAGCTGTCATACACCTTGCACTGTCTCGGGCGCTTGGCAAGGGAGGCAGGGCGGCCAGAAGAGGCGATAGAAATGTTTCGCCGAGCACTGGTAGTGAAGGAACGGGCGTTTGGTGCTGACCACCTGCAGGTTGCCCATACGCTCCACTCTCTGGGCATGTCCCAACGTGATGCAGGCCAACTGGAGGAGGCCAGAGGAAATTTTCGTCGAGCCTTAGAAATTAAGGAGGCGGTGCTTCTCCCAAATGATGTAGAGGTTGCACGCACGCGCCAGGAGCTGGACCAGTGCAATAGTTCTGAGTTGGTAGGTAAGAGTTCATTCTGACCATAAAGGTTTGTTTGGAACCTGCAGCGTTCCACCGAGTTCAGGGGGCCGACGTTTGAGTACACAGCAGAGGGTCATACAGCTTGGGAACGTTGGTTTTGAGGTACGGTAGGCATCCAGAGGCCGATTTCCCCCGGGTACATGGCATTTACCTGTCCGTCTTGAGCCCTATCATTGATTCGTTATCGTCTTCTTGGGAAGAGCCAAGAGGGTGTGGTGTGAGTTGCATAAGTAGATCACGTGGCGGTTTCGTGGCGAAGCAGTGGATCAATTAGGGTTCGTTGCATTTGTGCGGCCGTGGAGGGCTTGGCCGCGCTCGGTCGATCTCGTTTTCGCCTTTTTGATGGCGAGGGGACATGAACACCTCATGAATAAGACGTTCTGATTTGAGAAGTCGGGTTGCGGAGGGTGCTGGAGAGGGTTGGGCTGCCAGTCGGTGTAGGGCTGCTTTGGAGCGGTGGCACGATGCCGCAGCGTCGCTAGATGATAAAGAGTGGCTGATCGACAACAGCTTGCCAACTGTCAATGTTTTGGGTGGGACGGGGCGGGAACCGCAGCCGGAGCCGACCCTTTTCACCATGTCGCCGCGGAACACCACTGCTCTGCTCGGGAAACCCGAATTCTCAGCGTCGCAGGTTTCTGATGTATTGTGTTGGATGTACCTAAAACCACATTGTTTAACGGGAAGAAGGAGGGCATGTCTGAGACAGACAAGTACGTAGATGAGGCCAGCCTGTTGTCCAAGGAGATACCATGATCGTGCAACATAAGTGGCATCATGCTGTGCTTTCGACAGGGTTGACCATCGGGGTGGCGTGGTATTTTTCAGAATTAGCTGAATCTCGCGTGGTAGCGACCAAGGTCGCTAAAGGACGATAATATCCTCCGCAAGTGCTGCTTGGCATCGATCCATTCCCCCGCTCGCGCCACTTGGCTCCACAAGGCGGCGGTTCTTGGTCACAATTGGAGATATCGCACTCAACTGGGGCTGCACCCATCGCTGGCACAGGCGGTGCCGGCGCTGCCGACTGTCAAATGTGTGGGCGAGCATGGGGGCGGGGCGGCGTGGAGGCGCAGTCGTAGACAACTGAATACGGAGTTCGTTCATAACCGCGATACGTCCAACAGCACCCCGCTGTCATGGCTTCTAGGCGAGCTAAACAGTGCTGCTTTCCAGGCCATGCGGAGATTCCCGAAGCACTAGCAGACCCGAAGCACTAGCAGAATTGTGCTTTGTGATCCGTGCTTTTTGATCTGTGGCGGTCCGTTCAAGCACGCGGCTCAGCACAGCAAAAATGCGGAGAGACTCTTGCTGTATAGCAGCTGTGTGCGGTAGCAAAAATCATTGCACACCCCGCACCCGATACACCAAGGTTTGGGAAACACAGCAGATGACTATGCGAACACAAGCCTCTAGAGAGAGAGATCTCAAGCCCCCATCGAGATTGGGCTTGTTTGTTGTTCGCGAGGCCCTGCATCGAGCGGTGCAATCTGTTGCTTTCTGCGTTCGAATGGCGCGTTTCGACACACGGTCCCCCTATAAAACGAAACATATGAAGTCGCTGCACGTATCGAACCGCGGAACCCCCGACTGGTACTTCGGAAGCTGGCACTTCTGGCCACACCACACACTACGAAATGAAGGGGCTGCGCTGTCACGTGTGCAACAAGCACGGGTCCTCTCGCTTTAAAGGTGAAGAGTTTGCTAGGTCGCGTTGCGGACTCGTTGTGGACAAGTACAGAGGAAAACGCGGATCAAGTGCAGCAGTGCTCTTTCGCTGATGCTGCTGCTTCCATATAGCTGTTGTGTGTAGCGAAGAAGGCAAGAGACACAGGTTGAGCGCCACATGAGGTAGCATGATAGCACGCCCCCTGCCTCTCAGCTCCCGGGATTGTCCTATGCGGCGCAACAGTTGAACATCTTCGCGTAGTCTAAAAGCGCTGTGGACAGTTACAGTGTAAGGCGGATCAAAGGAGCAGTACTGTTCCGCTGATGCTGCTCCTCCTATATGTAGCGGGGAAGGCAAGAGACACAGGGTGAGCGTCACAAAGGTAGCACAACCCCCTCCCCTCAACGCCCTTGTTTGTTTTATGCGGCGGAGCAGTCGACCATCCGCAGAAGCATTCTGTGTACGTAGTCCAAACGCGCCGCATTTTTCCCGTCGTACCCTGTCCTGCCCCACGGTTCCTGCAGGCGCAAACGGGAAGTCGACAGCAGTGGTGTGTCAGGAACATAAGACGGAAGGCATGACCAGTGTAAAGTCCAAAACGTGCGAGCACAGTGGGTGTGAGAAGCGCCCCTCGTTTGGGTTTCGACTTGCAAACAGAAAACGGTTTTGTTTTCGCCACGCAGAGGATGACATGATCAATCTGCAGCTGAAAGTGTGTGCTCATTCGGGTTGTACTTCAACGGCCAACTACGGGCACGGAGGAACACGTACCCACTGCCAGCCACACGGAGAAAGCGGAATGACAGGCCCTAAGGGGCAAATGATCATATCAGCGTTGCAATCATCTGTGTGGCCTGAAGAGGCTTCGACGACAGCAGCTGCTGGCGGTGTGCTGGACGTAGCAAAAGCTGCTTTCCTCGCAGCGGCAGGCTCCGCTGGAACCGTGGGGCAGAGCGGCGGGGACGACGACGTCGGCATGGCAGGCGATCTCCCTGCGGTGGAGCAGCCTAGTTGGGTGAGTGAGCGGCTTGAGAAGAGAGAGAGAGGGAGAGACAGGGAGAGAGAGGCAATGCTCTGTGTGTGTGTGTGTACGTGTGTGTAGGTGTGAGATTTGTCCCAAATGCACTGCTCGAACTTTCCCTGTAAACCCCGCTGCCCGCAAGATAACAAGTTATGTTCCCCCTCCCCGCGCGACGTGGCCAGGGTTCCAAACAGCTTGCACCGACCCACGAGGCGTTGGAGCGAGAGAGAAAACGAGTCGAGATCGAAAGGAGGAAAGCAGAGGACGCAGTGGCGGCAAGAGATGCCGCCGAGGAAAGTGGGCGGAAGGCACGCGAGGTGGGTTAGCTCGTCTCTACTGGTTACGATTCTCCTTCATTGTTCGCCAACATTGGCCAACTCTTAAATTAAGGACTTTTTTGCTGTTGTGTTTATATGTTGGTTGGCAGGCAAACGAGAAGCTACAAAAGGAGCTGGGGACAGTGAAGGCTGGCATCGCACGTGCTTTGAGGGAGAATGAACAGTACCGATCCAGGGACCCACGAGTGAGGTTGCCACGCCGCTGCAGGGAGAAAGGTCAAGAGCCGGATCAACCGAAAGAAATGGCAGCCCTACACTTTCGGTCCATGCATGATGAGGTGCCGTTTGTTTGGCTGAAGGAGCATTTTGAAGTAGAGGAGAAGCCAAGCCAGATTGAAGGCCACGGGGCGTTTCTCAAGCGTGGCGCCAGCAAAGGCACAACAGTGCATACGTCGGTGTTGCCTAGCTCCAAATTCAACGATGATTTTACGATCGAACAGTACGACTGCTGCTATCATGTGATGCATGGTGACAAGAGCGGGGTGGTGTACATCGACCCAGGTGCCCTATTCCGAGGCAACCTGATGGGGTGCCTGGAGGACATGGGAAGTAGGGTGATGCGACTTTTAAACCACAGCAGCTCGCCTAATGCCGAGCTATGTTTCGGCGGAGCGGCCCCTCCTGACTGGTATGAACCAACCCAAGCCGGACGGGCAGTGATTACAAGCTGGTACACGTGCTCACTCGTGACCCGTCGACCAGTAGAAGAAGGGGAAGAACTTACGATTTGCTATGCCAAGTTTCCGCCCGCGTGGGACCAGGGTAAGCGGGATAGGAGAAGAAAGAGGAAGAGGTAGACTACGGCAGTAGCACAGAGTGTGAAACGTGGGGTGTAGCGTCGCGCTTGAAGGCGAGTGTATGTGGGGGCGGCAAGGCGAGTGTATGTGGGGGCGGGGGCGTGGGCGGGGGCGGCGCTGAGGTTATCCACGCAACTCTGGCGCGCTTAGGCGCCGCGAATTAACTTATTTTTCCAAATAAAATGTTATCGAGGCGCATTGCATTTATAAATATATTTCTGTGAAGCTGTGTGTTGAGCGTGAAAGGGGAGAGCGGGAGCGGGACGCGGGACTTAACCTAGTCTATTAAAATCTCGGTAATTTACCTACTCGGTACCGGGGGGGCGCGTTTCGGGGGCATTGGTTTCGACGCGCCCCGCCAGTGTCAGCCCCAGCGGTGCCAAGGATACCGCAGACGTGGTAGAAACGATTACACACCCCGCGGCCAACCAACCACGTAAAAGATGATTGCAAAGCAAAATGGCCAAGCACCCCTTTCTTCCGATCTGGTGCGCCAAGAGACGGACGCCAGTGCCGTACATCGGTTCATCGCAAAATCTTGTATCCGAGGTGCGGCGATACATATCTCTGACCATTATTGAAATCATCTGGCTGCTGCCCGCGCGCGCCGCCAAGGAGTTCCGACGCCAATCGGCCCACACGATATGTAGAGTGCTCGGCGGCGACACGAGTCTATGCGATGAAATTGAACAACGCTATGCTCGCCTACAGAGCACGGTGGAAGGTAGGGCCTACCAAAACTTTGTGATGTACCAGGGCCCCGCCAAGAAGACTCGGTCGGAAGCACCCTTTTGGTTCGAGTACGCATCGGATCAAGAGAAGAGGGCTTTCGTCTCGATCGTTGCCAAGAAAGCCATAGCCTTGGAACAGATTGACATGTATGATACTGGAGTCAGTAGGGCAGTTCGCCCCGCGCGACAAGATCGAGTTCGCCGACAGGGTTAAAGACGCCCAGAGGCGCGCTTTGGGAGCCAACATTCTAACAACCGCACCCGCCGACGATTCGGCCATTTTCGTGCCGAGGCTGGTAGACAACTCAGTCGACCCGGAGACAGGTCTAATCATTGCAACTCACAAATGCAGCGAGAGTGTCCGAGGTCCGGGGACGTCGATTTGTAACGAAGCTGGGAAAATGGGCGTAACAGTAGGCGAGAAGGCGGGACAAGTCGGAAAGGTCGTCAAGCGCCTCTACTCAGAGCGGTACGGTGTCGAAGCCGGTTGCAACATACCCAAGCGCGACACTACCTTTCGAGGGAAACCATTTCCTGAAAATTCTTACTGGGACCGTGATGCGGATCTGATTCAACAAGCCATCCGGATCGTATGTGCCCCACCGGCGAAACCTCGTCAACTGACCACACAGACGCTTCTTAAGTGGACACAATCTACACCCCAGTCTTCACGCTAAACTTGCGAGTTGCAAACCTCGCGCACATCGCCACAAACAACGAGCACCGCGTTCAACTGCCTGAAATTAAAACCTAGTTCGCTAGTACACACCATGGACGCCACGACAAACACCGAGAACGCCACCATCCGCGTCGACCGGACATCACGCAAGGGGTCGGTCGTGGACGTCGCCAAAATGGTGCTCGGGTGTGATGCAGACGAGGCAGAGGCCGCTTGTGTCAAGATCGGAGCGCTCCCGAACGAAGAGCAGCGCCAGATCAATGGCAACGGCGGACTCACGGCCGTCGCTGAGGTCGACTCGCTCATCGAGCTGGTGTGGCTGCTGCCGGCCGAGATAGCAGACGACGTTCGTCGCGAGATATCACACACCGTGTGCAAGGTCCTGAAGGGGGATCCCAAGCTTGTCATCGAGACGGAAAAACGTCATATCGCGATGCGTGAAAAATGCTTGCAACAATACAATGATATGCCCGTAGAATTCAAGTATCTGTCCGACAAAGGTCGTGAGCAGTATGATTTCCGTCTGGTTGAGCTGTCCGCCAAAGCCAGGGACGTGGAGGTTCAGAAGGGGTACCAAGACCTTCGACGCTCTTACAATGAAATTGACGAGAAGAGCTTGACGCTGAAACGTAAACGTATGGACGACATGATATATTGCTACTCGGCGATCGAGGAGCTCGGCATTTCTCTCGACGCAGACGCCAGAGTTCACATTCTCGACACAGTTAAAGTTCTCACTAAGCATCACACTAACGTCGACGGCGACATTTTTTAGGGGGGGGATGGGTTGAGACAGGCGTTCTGATCGTCATAGTAAAACCGGAAATAGTGAAACAATATCATACACACAGGCACACTTTCAACCATGTGGCGCGCCGAGACACCATCGCATGGCTATGTCGACGAGATGTACCCGCTGGACGCGCCGACGCATTTCATCATGGCGCCAGAGGACTTGTGTGTATTGATAGGGCACCCAAACTCGCAGGATGATGCCAGCAAAACGGCGCACGCGTGGGACGTCNTGTCGACGAGATGTACCCGCTGGACGCGCCGACGCATTTCATCATGGCGCCAGAGGACTTGTGTGTATTGATAGGGCACCCAAACTCGCAGGATGATGCCAGCAAAACGGCGCACGCGTGGGACGTCACCGATGGAACGAAGTGGGTCCACATCTACAACTACAAGCACCCGCGCGCGTTTTCTATGAGGGGCGACGCGCCGGATGCAACGGCGTCGTTCTTTTCATTTGTCAAGGGTAGCAAACGTTGGGTGCATGTGGAGCAGCGGTGCTGCCGGGCCATGGGGAGGCGCGTTGCGAGGCCATTGGTTTCGATGCGCTCCGTCGTGGTTGGCATAGCATGTCGGTGTGACTCTTCCCAAAGTAACGGTAAATGTTGTGTCGGTTCGACAGGCTGTTGATTTGTGTGTCTTCAGTGCTGGATTGTGGTCTCGCGGAGGCCCACTCCTTTTCTATCTCGCTCTCTGCTTGTTGCTTTGTCCCTTCCCGGGAGCAACCGATAATACACGACGTAAACAACATCCATTCGACAGCCTGGTGGGGTGAGTCGACACTAACCGGTGCGGGGTTACACGAACATACTAGTATCCGACGTCGTCGGGTAGCCTCATGGATGCTGACGCTGAAGCAGCAGCGCTCCGCGCACAAGTGGAGGAACAGCAAGGTGCGCTCGCAGATCTGAAGAGTGCTTTCGAGGCCTCGGAGGAGCGCCAGCGGGTGTCTCAGGCGGAGATCATCGCGAAGCTGTCGCAGTTGGTAGTGGAGAAGACCAACTCAGAGGGGGAGTCCGGTGGCCCAGCCACTGTAGGTGCGGCGGGCGGAGTTGCTGCACCATCATCAAGATCGTCGGCGCATTCCGACGGTAACGACGAAAAAGGAGAAGAAGACGGTGATGCTGCGGAAGCTAATTCTTATCAGCTTGGCGGCGGAGGGCCAGCAGGGGACTTCGTCCCACAAGGTGAGCAGCCCTCTCACACACCTGGTGGTTCAGCTAAGCTGCATCTCAACAATATGATGAAGACCGTGAAGCCTCCCGTGCTCCAGGATGAGATATCTATCGAATCTTGGAAGAGGGAATCATCTGTTTACATGAAGCTGAACAAGTTTAGCCGCGTTTTCTCGGAAGATCCTGTTCCTTATGTCCGTACTTCGGCGGAAGACGAGAGACTTGTTTGTATATCGCTTGATTAGAAACTCAGGGAAGGTAGAGAGGAGGAGGAGTGAGAACCCCACAGAAAACAAAGGGGACTTCGCAAAACCATACCCCATGGTACATCATGTTCCTATCTGCGTATATATCCGAAACTGCTGCTAGATCGACCGTTCGTATCCAAACCACGAACACCCTCCCTAGTTCGCCACGCAAGTGACTAACCTTCAGTGGGGCAGGATACCCCAGATCTAGCTACAATCAGTACCGGTGCAAGGGAAAACCCGGCCATCCGGATCAAAAACCCCTGCCTAACTAAACATCAAGATAACCGTCGCTATCACGGAGGATTCCAACGGCCGCACTGCCAAGATGAATACTAAGGCGGGGACAAGAATACCAGAGATCGCCTACTCCTGAAATAGGTGCACAGACCGTAACAGTAAATGCGAGATGGCATTGTCTCTCCCCGCATGACTTAAGCATAGTATCACCCAGTGCTAACAACACAAACAGTACTCTACTCCGGCAGATTCATGAGAGCCTTCCGGTGGTACTCTAGTTTGACCCGACACAGCGCTTTGGTGAGCAGGTCGGCATGCTGCTCGTCAGTCGAGACGTACTCTACAGAGATCCTACCCGACTTGAACAGCTCGCGAATGAAGTGGAAGCGCACGTCGATGTGCTTGCTCCTCGCGGAACTGAGGGGGTTCTGCACCAACGTCATGGCCCCCTGATTGTCCTCGCGGACCTGGATGCTAGCCCAACTCGTCTCGGGCGCTACAAACGATAACACCGCACGCACAAATAGAGCCTCCTTGACACCCTCCCCGGCTGCGATATATTCGGCTTCCGTGGTCGACAGAGCCACTACACGTTGCGACTTGCTAGTGTGGCTCACAGCCGTACCTCCTAGAGTTACGGCAATCCCCGACATCGAGCGCCTCTCGGTATCCTCGTCAGCCCAGGGTTTCCCCTATAAAATCCAGTTGTAAAACCCGGTTGGACAATTTCCAGTTGGGCGAAGTGCCTGTTCGTAAAACCCGGTTGCGCACACGGCAAAACCGGTGCCTGTTCAGAAAACAAAAACGGTTTTCAAGACGGAGCCCCTAC